TCTCCCCGTCCTCCTCCTCCTCCTCGTCCTCTTCCTCGTTGTCACAATTCTCCTCCTTTCTCTTCTTGTTCTCGTCCTCTTCCTCGTCGTTCTCCTGCTCGTCCTTTTCCTCCTCCTTTTCCTCCACCTATTCCTTTTTTTTTTCTCTCTCTCTCTCTCTTTCTCTCCTCCTTCCTCCTCATTCTCCTCCATTCTCTTCTCCTCCTCCTATTCCTCTTCTTCCTCCTCCTCCTCCTTCTTCCTCTCCCTCTCACGGCAGGCACCAGCAAATAGTCTTCCCCCGCCTCCTCTTTCTCCTCCTCGCCCTCCCCCTCCTCCCCCTCCTCCTCCTCCTCCTCCTTTTTCTTCTTCTCCTCCTCCTCCTCCTCCTCCTCCTCCCTCCTCCTCCTCCTCCTCCTCCCTCCCTCCTCCCCCCTCCCTCCCTCCCTCCCTCCCTCCCTCCCTCACTCCTCCTCGCCCCCTCCCCACTTCCCCGCCGCGCAGGGGCGGCCCCCCCGGCTCGAAGCTCTTCATCGGCGGGATCACCCCCCAGACCACGAGCGAGGACCTCCAGCGCCACTTCGCCGAGCACGGCCACGTCCTGGACGCCGTGGCGATGAAGGGCAGGGACCACCCTCGCGGCTTCGGCTTCGTCACCTTCGCGTCCCCCGACGCGGCCGCCCGGGCGGCGCTTGCCGAGAACTGGCTCGACGGGCGCCTGCTCGACGTGAAGTGGGCGGTGCCGCGGAGCATAATGCAGGGCGCGAGGTCGCCCTGTTCGGCTGCTCGGGGTGGAGGAGGAGGAGAGGAGGGAGGAGGAGGAGGAAGGAGGAGGAGGAGAGGAGGAGGAGGAGGATCATGGGCGTGTGGGGAGGAGGAGGAGGGATGAGGAGGTGGGAGGCAGGGCGCGGGAGGCCCGCGCGGCGAGCTCCGGGCCGGCCCAAACCTCGCAGCAGGCAAGCCGCGCGCCCCCACGCTGCCTGGCAGACGCTCTCCTTCTCCCTTCCTCCTCCTCCTCCTCTTCTTTTTCTCCTCCTCTTCTCTCCTTCTCTTCTCTTCTCCTCCTCCTCCTCCTCCTCTTCGTTTCTCCTCCTCCTTCTCCTTCTCCTCCTCCTCCTCCTCCTCTCCTTCTCTCCCTCCTCCTCCTCCTCCTCCTCCTCCTCCTCCTCCTCCTCCTCCTCTTCTTTCTCCTCCTCTTTCTCCTCTCTCTCTCCCTCCTCCTCCTCCTCCTCCTCCTCCTCCTCTCCTCCTCCTCTCCCTCCCTCCCTCCCTCCCTCCCTCCCTCCCTCCCATCCCTCCCTCCCTCCCTCCCTCCCCCCTCCCTCCCTCCCTCCCTCCCTCCTCTCTCCCCTCCCCCCACTCCCTCCCCTCCCTCCCCCCCCTCCCTCCCCTCCCCTCCCTCCCTCCTCCGCCCTCCCTCCCCTCCCTCCCTCTCCCTCCTCCGTCAGGTTGCCAGAGGTGTCCCTCTGGTCAAGGTTCGAGGGTGCGCAGGGGCGGGTTGGGCCCAAAGTTGGGTGAGAGAGCGAACTCAGTTTGAGCCTCCAGGGGCGGTCCAGAGCAATGTGCCTCGCACCCCACCGCTGGCCCTACCCCGCCTGCGCGCCCCCCCAATGGTGTCCCCACGATGTCCAGTGAGGCCCCCACAGCCGCCGGAGCGCTCCTCACGAGGCCCAGAGGGCCCTTAGGGGGCTCCCGAGGGGCTCGGAAAGACGGGGACACCTTGGGCCCAGGGACGCCCTTGGGCAGCGCCCGAGGCTGGGGCTGGGGCCCAGGGGCCGTGGGAAGAGGGCGAAGCGCTCCGCCTGGGCGGCCGGGCGTCCTCATCTCGCCTCCGAAGACGACGAGGGGTTTTGTGTTCCCTGTCGTGGCGATGCTCAAGCCATTGGATGTTTTCGCGGCCTTCTCCGTCACAGGGGTGACTCCTCCAGGCCTCGACGGCTTTCTGCCCGACTGCGCCCTCGCCTTGCCGCTGTCCCGTGCGGAGGGGGCGGACGGGGGCCCTTCCTCCCCTCGCCTCGCGGCCTTCCTCCCCCTCTGCTCGCTGCTCCGTGTGCTCCTCCTCTCTTCCTCCCCTTGCTTTGGCGCCGCCCCAGCATCCTGCTGCCCTGTGTGCGTGCGCCGCCCTCCCAGGGGGGGGCGCGCGCGCGCCGAGAAGTCTCGCAGCACGCGCCCCGTGGCGGGCGCGTTGTGGCCGCGCCGCTCGGGGCACGGTGTGCTGCAGGACGGCCGTGCTGCGAGGCGCCGGGGCCCGAGCCAGCCGGGGCTGGGGCGCCGGGGCTCGGGCCGGGCCCGGGCCGGAGCTGAGGTCGGGGCCGGGGCAGGAGCAGAGGCCAGGGCCGGGGGCGGTCGGGCGGGGCGCGAGCCTCCGCGGAGGGCGCGCAGTGTTGGGACGGCCTCGTGCGTCCCACGGTGCCCGCCGCTCTTTACGATTACTCAATATGAATACTACTCTCCCTCTTCCCCTGATGGCGTGCTGGGAGTAGCCGACCCCCCCCCGCGTCCTGCTTTTTTACACACAGGATTCCCGGGAGTTGGGTTTTCGCTTGCATTTTTTGTTTCAAAATGCTGCTCTCGCTGAGGCGCCGGCCTCATTTTCGGGCCCCGCTCGTTCCGAATCGTGCTCCCGCTGCAGCGCTAGCCTCATTTCCTTGCTTCCGCTCGTTCCGAATCGTGCTCCTGCTGCAGCGCTGGCCTCATTTCCGCGCTTCCGCCCGTTTCGACTCGTGCTCCCGCTGCAGCGCTGGCGTCATTTCCCCTGCCATGCCACAGCACACGCGCACACGCACACACACACACCACCACCACCACCACCACCACCACCACCACCACCACCACCACCACCACCACCACCACCACACACCACCACCACTACCACCACCACCACCACCACCACCACCACCACCACCACCACGCAGCACGCACCAGCACCACCACCCAGCACCACAGCACCCAGCACCACCAGCACCACCAACCACCAGCACCCAGCACCAGCACCAAGCCACCACACCACCTACCACCACCACCACCCACCACCACCACCACCACCACCACCAGCACCACCACCACCCCAGCACCACAGCACCACCAGCACCACCAGCACCAGGCACCAGCACCAGCAGCAGCAGCAAGCACACCACCACCACCACAAACCACGCACGCACCACACGCACGCACGCGCACGCGCACCACCACCCACTACGCACGCGCGCGCGGAGCCACAGGTCCGCTACGACACGCGTCCGCGGATAGAGAAAATCAGCGCCATGGTAAGGGATCGGAGGGAGGGGTAGGACGTCAGATATGAAGCGAGCGCACCTAGCTTGGCCTGGCCCCTCGGCCTCCCCCCCTTTGCCGCCCTCTCTGCTCCGCCCGCCTGTCCTCGTGCTGTCGCCTGGGCCGCTTCGTCGTCGCGCGAGCGGGTGGGCCCGGCCACCACTCTGCGCCGCTGGGGGCTCGGCCCCGGCTGCCTTCTCGAAATTGTGCTTGCACGGTGGAGTCGTCGTGTAGGGGATCTCCTCCTCTTTCTCTCCTCCTCCTCCTGCTCCTGCTCCTCGTCTTCCTCCTCCTCCTCCTGCTCCTCCTCCTCCTCCTCCCCTCCTCCTCCTCCTCCTCCGCCTCCTCCTCATCCTCCTCCTCCCCTCCTCCTCCTCCTCCTCCTCCTCCTCCCTCCTCCTCCTCCTCCTCTCCTCCTCCTCCCTCCTCCTCCCCCTCCTCCTGCTCCTCCTCCTCCTCCCCCTCCTCCTCCCTTCCTCCCAATCGTTGGGAAGATGGCAGTTTTCATCATCAGGTGCTTTCTCATGGAAAAAATGGTTCTCGTCTCTGCCTCGGGGCGATCCCTCCGGGGCGATCCCTCGAGGGCGACCCCAGGAGGGCGATCCTCAGATCCCTCGAGGGCGATCCCTCTCTCTGCGTGGAGGTCTCCTTGCGGGCTGCCCAGCGGGACCCGGACGAGGACGAGGACGACGAGGAGGACGACGAGGACGACGAGGACGACGAGGACGACGAGGACGACGAGGACGACGAGGTCGACGAGGACGACGGGGACGACGAGGACGACGGCGTGTGCCGCGACAGCTGGGTGCTGCCCCTCCGCGGACCGAGGCCCGTCCTCGTCCTTGCGTCGTCCTCGTCGTCCTCCCCCACCGCGGGCGATCCTCGATCCCTCGAGGGCGATCCTCCATCCCTCGATTCCTCAGATCCCTCGAGGGCGATCCCTCGATCCCTCGATCCCTCGATCCCTCGAGGGCGATCCCCCCCCCTCCGCGGGGAGGTCTCCCTGCGGGCTGCCCAGCGGGATCCCGTCGCGGCAGTGGCGCCCCGAGGGCCCCGCGCCGCCGCTCGCCGAGGCCCTCGCCCTTCGCCCTTCGCCAGGGCGGGGGGGAGCGGGAGAGAGTGGCAGGCCGCCCCTCCCCCGCTGCCTCCGCTCCCCCTTTCCCCTCCCCCTTCCCCCTCCCCCTTCCCTCGCCCGTTGCCCTCCCCTCCCCTCCCTCCCCCTCGCTTCGCCCCCCCTCCCCCTCCCCCTCCCCCTCCCTTCCTCCCGCTCCCCGCTCGCCTCCCTGCCCTCCCCTCCCTCCTATCCCTTCCCCCCCCCTCTCTCCGCCTCCCCTCCCCTCTCCTCCCATTCCCCTTTCCCCTCCCCTCCCCTTCCCTTCCCATCCCCTACCCTTCCCCTACCCTTCCTCCCCTCCCCTCCCCCTCCCCCTCCCCTCCCTCCCCTCGCTCCTCCCCTCCCTCGCTTCGCCTCCCCTCCCCTGTGCCCTCCCCTGTCCCCTCGCTTCCCCTCCCCCTTCCCTCCCCCTCCCTCCCGCTCCCGAGGGATGGGAGGGGAGGGGGGAGGGGATGGGGGGGAGAGGCAAGCCAGGTGCGCTCGCGACTTCTCCGACAGCCTACCGATCCCTCCCCTCCCCTCCCTTCCCACGGCGCCGAGTTTTCTCGGTCTGCGGACGCGTGTCATGGCCGACCTGCGACTCCCGCAGAACGAGAAGCTCGTGCTGTGCGCACTCGTAAACATGGGAGCTGCGTGCACGGGAAGGAGGAGGTGGCGGCCGAGCAGGAGGATGAGCGGGAGGAGAAGATGGGGACGGACAGCAGCAACAGTGCATACATATATATATATATATATATATATATAGCGGACGGATCGGGAGTAAAAGGAGGACCAGGGGAAGGCGGAGGAGGGGATCTGAGGGAGCGACAACAACGAAGCAAGATTCGGATTCAGAAACGTGGCCCGCGATGGGGCGAGACGAATAGCAGCAACAGGAACTTGAGTGGCAGGAGCGGGAGGAACAAGAGGACCAGGTACAGGCGGAGGAGGGGAAATGAGGGGGGGCACTCAAGCAAGACTCGGATCCAGAAGCGTGACCCGCGCTGGGGCGAGAGTGCCATGCTGAACGATGGGAGCAAAGCGCCGATCCGAACATGAGGCCCACGCTGCAGCGGGAGCACCGTTCACCCAGAACAATCGGATTGTAACACGCCGTAAGAACATAAATTGTTGAAGTCGTGCGAGAAGCAGCGCGCGGAAGGAGCGGGAGATCTTCCGGACGACCTTCAGGGGAGGAGGAAGGGTAGTGTTCGTACTGCTCCATTCTGGAAGGAGAGGAGAGGGGAAGGGGGGGGGTAGGGCAAGGGGGAAGGGGACGGGGAAGGGAGGGGGGGACGAGAAGGGGCGTAGGGGCAGGGAGAGGAGGGGAGGAGCACGCGGAGGGGAAGGGAAGGGAGGGGAGGAGTGGGGACCCAGAGTTGGGCGAGGCTGTTCGGCCCGCGTGTCCCCTGGCAAGGGCACCCCCTGGGCAAGCATGCTTCCTGCAAGGTCGCCGGGGTTGGCGCTATCGCCGTTTAGAACAGGAGACGAGGGGACGGGGCTGTAGGAATTTCATGCACCTGTCTCCGCCTGGTGGTCCCCCCTTCCCTTTCCCTATTGTTGTTCCTCCTCGTGGTCTCCTCCTCCTGCTCCTCCTCGTTCTGGGGGCCACGTTCGTGGGGCACTGCTCCATTACTTTGCTGTTTCGCATCAGGCTCCGAGAGGGGTGAGTTGTGAGGGGCGCGTGCACATCCGAGGGGGCGGGCGTGCCAGTCGTGAGCGACGTCGGTGCCCCGATCCGGGCGCACTGAGGAGCGGAGGAGTATCGACCCCTCTCCCTCCACCCTTCGTCCTCCGTCTTCGTTGTGCGGTGTGTGTATGTCACATGTGCAACAACTTACCACATTCAATTTTTTTCGAACGCTCGGGGTTGGGACATTTTGCGCCTTGCGCCCGACAGCATGCAACGCCGACGCCAACGACTGGTTGGGCACTGCCGCTCTCGAAGATTCAGCGTATCTTCTGGGGGTGGGGGTGCAGCAAGATTTTGAACCTCAGGTGGTTGATATAGTCAGCCCATTCATGAAGCCTCACACTTCTGCACTAATCTCCGTGACGTGAGCGCACCGTTTCCCGCGCACCTGAGCAGCCCATCCAGCTGTTATCTCAAGTTCTGACCGAAACCAAGTCCGGGATCGTTCAGGGACCGAGGCGGACGTACCACGTGATCGGCCATTTCGCCCACTGATGCCAATTGATCCCCCCCTATGCACGGAGATCGCCGATAAGCAATTGACTCAAGCAATTTGGTTCCGCCATACTCGCGACTTTAAGGATGAGACCCCCAAGTGCCCTTGCAAGGGATATTCCAGCAAGGGCAGGCTGCTTTTGGCAGTGGGTTGTGGTAACTTGCAGCCACCCTAACCAGGAACTCCGACGGTTGTCTTATCCTTACACATCGGTTTTTGTATCCTGACCTCCCATAGCGTACTTGGCAGTCCTTCTCTCCCACCTCATTATCCTCTTTTCCTTTATCCCCAGTCGGAGGACGTCAACTGACCAGCTCACCGATCCTGGCCAGGCCGATCCTGGCCTGGGATAGAGGCGTACGCCGTCCTGGCTTGGCCAGGGAGGCGTAGACAAGGATGGGCCCGACCAGGATCGGGGAGATGGCCAGCTGACGCCCCCCCTCCCCATCCCCCCCAGCCGCTGCTCCATTCCTCCCTCCCCCTCCTCCCCGTCCCTCTCTATCTATCTATCTAGCTATCTATCTCTCGTGTTTTGCGCGCGACAATGTCAGCAGCGCCTCAACAGGCTAATCACACGATCAGGCCCCGAGCTCCTCTTCCTCAGCACCGAGGAGGGGAACACGCTCAGGAGGCCTCCAAAGATGAAGCTGATCAGAGTGCAGGCCGAAACGTCTCAGCACCTCGTCCCTCGACCACCCTTCGGCGGCGAGCAAGGGAGGGAAGTGAGAAGGAGAAGGCCTTCTCACAAGGTGGTCGCTTTGTCTACGGGGAATGCTTAGCAAACTTCTCAGAAGGCCGGGGGACTTCGGAGCCTGCTGAGAAGGTCTTTTTTTCATTTCCCCCCCCTCGCTCGCCGCCACTAAACGCGATGGACTGGCACTCGATAGCGGGTCGACGCAGCAGTGCTGAGACCTCTGGGGTGCGGCCCACGCCGGCAGGTCCGCTGAAGTCGGCTCGAGCAAACGGCCCAGCCTTCACCCTCTGCTCGGGGGTTGCTAAAGGTACCCCTGGCCCAATGTACCCCATCTTTTCGCTCAATTTTGGGGCCCTCTGGGCCTCGTGAGGGGTGCTCTGGAGGCGGGGGCACTTTGGGCCAGGGGCACTTCTAGTAACACCCGATCTGTACGGTCACCCCCCCGCACTCGGACCAGCTGTCTGCGACTGTGCTTTGTGGGGGGCCGCGTATAGCAGGGCTTAGGCAAGCTCTGGGCCGCGGACCAGCCGTAGCCTCCACAGGCTACACAAACCATACACCTGGGCCCAGACAGAACAGTGGCCCCCACCCCTACCCCTCCGTTCCTTCATTCCTCCCTCCTTCTTCGTCCATCTCCACCCTTTGCGAGCACCCTGTGGTGTAGCGGTCGCGCACCTTACATGTCAGATTCCCAGTCGAGAGCCTCGCCGAAAGTCGAGGAGGTCAACGGGTTGCATGATGGGGGATGCGCCGCCCAAGCAGCTCCTGATTTCGCAGCAGGCCGACTGTCGAAGCAAGCGCGCCGCCGAAATGCATAAGACGCCTGCCTTCAAGCTGCCACGTCCGGGCTGCCAGGGCCCCCTTGCCAGGGCCTTGTAATCCATCCTGCGCGCCAGCCGCTCCCCAGCCTTCCCCGCTCCTCCCCCGGCCGCGGCTTTGCACGCCCCAGCATGTTGATCGGGAGCCGGCGCAGCCCCCCTCCCACCCCAGGAACGGTCCACCGCTCAGCGGAGGCCGCCCCTGGGGAGGAAGGGGTGCGCGGCTCGGGGCCTATGGTTAGGCCAGGCCTGTCCTCCTACAGGGGGATTTTGGCTGGAAAACGGAAAATATTTAAAAAGTATTCCCAGAATGTCCAAGAATAGTAAAAAATAATCCCCAAACTATTTTCTGGCTATTTATGAATACTCCTCCTGTAGAGGGACAGGCCCGACTTAAGCCTATGGATATACACGCATGCACGGGAGGGCGCCGACTGCTGGGACGGTGGTGGCCTCCTCGGCGGAGGTCGGCGCGGCGCCCGCCGCTGGCCCCGGCGGGCTGCCGCAGCGCAGGTCCCGCGGCGCCCGCCGCCGCCGCACAGGCAGCGGGCGGGCCAGCGAGGGCCGGGGCCCGCGCCCCTGAGGCCCTCGGAGGTCGCCACGGGGGAAACAGATCCTGAGGGAAACGGGTCCTGAGGTTTCTCGCCGTTCTTGGCCTCCCAGGGCCCTCCGCGGGCCCCGGGACCGTCAGAGCACGACCCAGCATGAAGAACTCGTCCTGGGGGAAGGCTCCAGGGTTGAGGACCCGTTTCCCTCAGGACCCGTTGCCCCCATGCTAAGGCTGGGGCAGGGTGCACAGAAGGGCTGTGTCGGAAGCTCTGGAGCTCTGGCCGACGCCATGTTTTTTTTTTTTCTATTTTTGTTTTTTTGTCCAGGACCCTCCCTCCTGTCTCCTCACCGTCTTCCTGCTGCTGCTGCTGCTCCTCCCCCTCCTCCTCCGCCTCCTCCTCCATCCCCTCAAACATGTTGGGTTCACGGAACCGCTTCGGGGAGCGTATCATCATCATCATCATCATCATCATCATCATCATCATCATCATCATCATCATCATCATCATCATCATCAGCATCAGCATCATCATCATCATCATCATCATTATCAGTATCATCATTATTATCATCATCATTGTCAGTATCTTTTCCTTATCATTATCCTGATGACCATCATCGTCATCATCATCATCACCATCACTACCAGCACCAACATCAGCATCAACATCAGCATCATTATCAGTATCATATAAGCTTTACCATCAGCATAATAATCAACATCAGCATCATGACCATCATCAGCATCATCATCATCATCACCATCACCTTCACCATCACCATCACCATCACCATCACCATTATCATCATCGTCATCACCATCATCATCACCATCATCGTCATCATGATCATCATCATTATCATCATCACCCCCATCATCAGTCACACCATCAGTATCCTCGTCATCCTCATCATCACCATCACCCCCATCAGTATCATAATCGTCCTCCTTCTCATCCCCATCCTCAACCTCATCATGATCATCATCTTCACCAGCATCAGCATCGTCATCAGCATCATCACCATCCGCATCTTTGTCATCATCGCCATCACCATCATCATCAGTACCATTACCATGACCATTATCATCGTCATCGTCATCATCATGTTCATTGTCATCATCATCACCACCACCATCATCGTTGACATCACAATCATAATCAGCATGGTCACTATCATCATCACCACCAGCAGCAATATCATCATCACCGTAGTCAACACCATTATCATCAGCATCAGCATCAGCATCAGCATCAGCATCAGCATCACCAGCAGCAGCAGCACGACCATAATCATCAGCATCATCACCATACGCATCAGCAGCAGCACTGGTATCATCAGCACCATCACAGTCACTATCAGTACCACCATTAGCAGCATCAGCATCCGCATCAGCATCAGTATCAGCATGAACAACAATAATATCAGCATCAGCACAAGCATCAGCACCAGCATCATCATCACATGTATCATCATCATCGCTGACACCAACAGCATCATCATCATCAGCATGAGTGTCACCATCATCACCATCACCATCACAACCACCATCATCACAATCATCACCCATATTACCAGCATCACCAGCATCACCATCACCATCACCAGCATTTGCACCTGCATCACCATCATCATCACCATCATCATCATCATCATCATCATCATCACCATCATCACCATCACACCACCATCACCATCACCATCACCATCACCATCACCATCACCATCACCATTACCATCACCCTCCTTCTCTTTCTCCTCATCCACCCCCCCGCCTGCTTCGCCGTTTGCGCCGTCGTCCCCACTAGTACCCCTTCATCCACTTTCGCCCTCTCTGCTTCACCTCCTCTTCTTCCTTCTACGCTTTGCTTCACCACTTTCTCTCCCTGCTCCCCCCTCCCCCTTCTGCAGGGGTCTGATGCATGACATTCGACGAGCTTATTTTCAGTGTCCCGCCGCGTTCAGTTGACATTGTAACTTAGCGCTTTTTGGCGGCCGACGGAATGTGTGCAGCAGCTGTGGAGCATCCTGCTTGCCGCTAGCGAAGCATGCGCCTAGGGGATGATGGTGGTGATGATGATGATGATGATGAGGATGATGAGGATGCTGAGGATGCTGAGGATCACGATGAGGATGACGATGAGGATGATGATGCTGATGATGCTGAGGATGACGATGATGATGAACATGATGATGCGGCTGATGATGATGTTTATGATGCGGATGCTGATGCTGATGGTGGTGATGATGGCGATGGTGATGATGCTGCTGCTGATGATGCTGATGCTGATGAGGGATGTGGTGGTGGTGATGATGATGCTGCCGATGATGATGCGGATGGTAGTGCTGATGATGATGACGTGCATACTGATTAGGTTGATTATGATTATGATGATGCTGATAGAATTGATGTTGTTGTTGATGGTGCTGAGGATGATGCAGCTGCCGCTGCAGCTACATGTGACGATGATGCTGATCATGATGATGTGGATGATGATGATGATGATGATGATGATGATGATGATGATGATGACGACGATGATGATGATGATGATGATGACGACGCCGACGACGATGATGATGCTGATCATGATGCTGATGCTGATGCTGATGCTGCTGCTGATGTTGATGATGATGATGATGGTGATGATGATGCTGATGATGGTGATGATGTTAATGATGCTGGTGATGACGAGGAGGAGGAGGAGGAGGAGGAGGAGCAGGAGGAAGAAGAGGAGGCGGAGGAGGATGATGAGGACTACCGTATATACCATATACGACATGAGGGGTGATGAGGATAAGGAGGGTGAATATGGGCGGAGTATGAGAAGGAAGAGGGGGATGTGCAAAGGTACAGGCAAGACAGGGAAGATGTAAGACCGAGGGGAGAGGGAGGTAGAGGTTGGAGGATTACGGCGATACCAACGACGATGATGATGCTGGTGATGCTGATGCTGATGCTGCTGCTGACGACGATGATGGTTGTGGTGGTGATGATGGTGATGATGGCGATGATGATGATGACGACGATGGTGATGACGATGATGGCGACGATGATGACGATTGTACAGGTTGTACTGCTGCTGTTAATCTGGATCTAGCAGTAGATGATGACTTGGACGATGACTTGGGTGACTTAGATGTCTTGCACGATGATGATGCTGCTGCTGATGATGGATGGTACTGGTGGTGATGATGATGCGGATGCTGCGGATGATGATGCTGATGCTGCTGCTGACGACGATGATGATGGTGGTGTTGACGGTGGTTGTGATTATTATGCTGATGATGATGCTACTGCTGCTGCTGATGATGCTGGTGGTGGTGCTGGTAATGATGACCATGGTGATGGTGATGGTGATGGTGATGGTGATGATGGTGATGACGACGATGATGATGCTGATGATGATGCTAACGATGATGATGATGAGAATGATGATGATGATGATGATGATGATGACGATGATGATGATGATGCTGATGATGTTGATGATGATGATGCTGATGATGATGATGCTGCTGATGATGATGCTGATGCTGCTGCTGACGATGATGATGATGGTGGTGTTGATGGTGATTGTGATTATTATGCTGATGATGATGCTACTGCTGCTGCTGATGATGGTGGTGGTGGTGCTGGTAATGATGTCCATGGTGATGGTGATGGTGATGGTGATGGTGATGACGACGATGGTGATGCTGATGATGATGGTAACGATGATGATGATGATGATGATGATGATGATGATGATGATGATGATGATGATGATGATGATGATGATGAGGATGATGATGATGATGATGATGGATGATGATGGATGGTGGATGATGGATGATGGATGATGGAGGATGATGATGATGGGTGATGGAGGATGATGATGGAATATGATGATGGATAATGGATGATGGAAGATGATGATGCTGATGCTGCTGCTGCTGATGATGATGATGATGCTGATGCTGATGCTGATGCTGATGCTGCTGATGATGATGATGATGATGATGATGATGATGATGATGATGGTGAGGATGATGATGATGATGATGATGATGATGATGATGATGATGATGATGATGATGATGATGATGATGATGATGATGATGATGATGATGATGATGATGATGATGATGATAGCCGTTACGGTGAGGCGGACATGGTTTCGGTGCATTTTGGCTCAAGCGGTTGCACGCCCTTCGCTTCGGTCGTCCGCGATGGCTGGAGCTCGACGGGCTAGAGGAGCTCTCGCGCCCGCTGCGGCGGCTGCCCTTGTGGAGGCGGCCGTGCGCGGCGCGATCCGTGCCAACGCGCCGCGGCGCACGGCTGCGGCCGTGGCCCGCTCGGCGGTCTCGGCGGCGCTCTTCGCGCTGTCGGGGCCTGCCGGTCCGCCCGCGGCCGAGGCGGCTCCGGAGGTCATGGAGGACTTCAAGGACAAGCCGAAGACGACGGAGGCGAAGCTGGAGCGGAGGCGGCGCCGCCGCCGCCGCCTGGCGGAGTGGCGCGCTGCTGGGCGCGCTGTGCTGCCTGCCGCTGATGTCGGAGTCGGTGGGCCCACGGAGGACGACGACGGGATGTCGTTGGACGACGAGTGGGCCGACGCGCTGCCGCCGCGGGTGGCGCGCAGGAGGCAGCGGCGGCCCGCGCCCGACCACACCGCGGTGGTGGAGGGCGCCGCTGACGCTGCTGGCGCGGCCCCTGCTCCTGCCGCTGGCGGTGCTGGCGGCGTTCCTGGAGCATGTGCAGGTGCAGGTGTTGCGGTGCCGAGCGCGGCGGCGGTGCCTGGTGCGCCCGGCGGGGCTGCTGCTGCTGGCGCCGACGCCGTGTGCGACGAGGAGGCCGACGCGAGGAGGGCCCTCATGCTGAGGGCGGAGGCGATCATCCGCGGGCGCGTGTGATCGTCTTCGGGGAGTCGGTCATGTTCGTGCGCACGGCGGGGGTTCGGCGGCACCCCCTTGTTTATTGCCGCCCGCTAGGTGCGTCCACGTCGTGCAGGTCGTCGTGGTCCACTGTAGTGTCTATCATCTGAGCCTACGGGCCAGCTTGCAGCGTTCCCGGCGCCGCTGCTCGAGACCGAAGCCGTGAGGAGTTGAGCTCAAAAAAAAGGACATGGTTTCGGTGAAGGCTCACCGATCTGATTCACCCAGCGACTGCCAAAAGCTGCTGCTGCTGATGACGAGGAAGAGGAGGAGGAGGAGGAGGAGGAGGAGGAGGAGGAGGATGAGGATGAGGGAGGGAGAGGAGGAGGAGGAGGAGGAGGAGAGGAGGAGGAGGAGGAGAGGAGGTGGGAGTGAGCGATAGAGCGGGGCGAGGGAGGTAGGGAGGGCTGTTGATGAGACGGAGGAGGAGGAGAAGGAGGGATGGATGGAGGGAGGAAGGAAGACGAGGAGGAGGAGGAGGAGGAGGAGGAGGGGGGGATGATGAGGAGGAGGAGGAGGAGGAGGAGGAGGAGGAGGAGGAGGAGGAGGAGGAGGAGGAGGAGGAGTAAGACCTGTGTCTTGTCGTCGCGAAGGTGGCATCGGAGGGGGAAGAGGTGGATGGGGGGTCCTGACACGCAGGGCCTGCGAGCTTGTGGGGAAGCTGCACTGTCTGCCTGAAGCCTGCGTTCTTTCTTGACGCATTCCCCCGCATCCTTTCATATCATCCCCCCGAAGTCAGAGAAGAATCCTGGACGCCAATCTGGAGGTTTGGACTGTCCTACGCCAGCGCAGCTGATGACAGGATACGCAAGGACGCCAATTTGCCTGCGCCACTGGCATTTGGCGCCAACTACTGTTCTGAACTCGAAGGGAAACCAGGGATATCGGGAGAGGCCAGGTCTTCCACGCCCAAGTGCTTCGGTGCTGGGTGCCTTCTACCAGTGCTTGCCTTGGCTTCTCCACAGCAGAGTTTCTGATTCTTCGGCCCCCGGGGGGGAGGTCAATTTCACCGGTCGTTCCAGTGGCTCCCCCAGGCCCTGTCTGAGTTTATTCTGAAAATGCTGATGGTCTCGCCGCCCTCTTTGTCGCCCGCGCCCTCCCGCGGGCAGCTGCGCCGACCTGGCGCCATGCACACAGCGAGCCGGCTCGATCTGCGGGAGGAGGAGGACATCTATACACATCCACTGCTCCAGGCCTGGCCTGTCCTCGGCGCATGAGCTGTGTACACGCCTCCTTGGCCAAACCAAGAGGGCGTATGCATCGCTCCGGGGCCCAGGATAGACCTGGCCAGGGGCAGTGGATATGTATTGGTCCCGTCGCCCCATGAGGAAGGAGGACGATATCACCCGAACGCTTGCCACTGGTCCCGCTTTGGCCGCTCCTGCACCAGCCGCGCCGATGCAGTCCTCGCGGCAGTCCTGCAGCAACTTGTGGCAACGGGGTGGCCTGTGAGGTCGGTGCCGAGCTTGTCGCGGGGTTTCTGGAAGGAGCCGCGCGATCGCACCGTCGACCCGCCCGTCTTCGCAAACAGGGTGCGACTCGACGCCCTGCCGCTCCTGAGTCGTGACCTTCCCCTCCGCGGCCGCCACTTGCTGCTTGCAGTCTGTGAGGCTCGCGAGAGGCTCGCGAACTCCCTCGCGAGCAGTGCCTCCAGGTTGTGAAGTTGCTCCTGCAAGTCCTGGGGACTGTTTCGTCGGACTCCTTCGCCTGGAACTCCACCAATGGGAGGAGGGGGAGGAGGAGGAGGAGGAGGAGGAGGAGGAGGAGGAGGAGGAGGAGGAGGAGGAGGGGGAGGAGGAGGACGTCCCCGCCGGAATATGAAGCAGCTGGCCCCTCGGCTTGCCCGCTGATCGTGGGCTCCCGTCGGGCTCGATTCGGACGCGCCATTGCGGGCGCCCCGCGTGCGTTGGGCGTTTTCTCCTCCTCCTCCTCCTCCTCCTCCTCCTCCACCTCCTCCTCCTCCTCCTCCTCCTCCTCCCCCTCCCTCCTCTTCATCTTCCTCTTCCTCATCCTCTTCCCTCCTCCCTCCCCCCTTCCCACCCCTCCCTTCCCTCCCTCCCTCCTCCTTTTCTTCCTCCTCCTCCTCTTCCTCCTCATCCTCCTGCTCATCCTTCTCCTTCTGCGCCTCGTTGTCCTTCTCCCCTTTTCTTCTCTCTCCACCCCTCCCTTCCTCCCCCCTCCTTCCCTTCCCCTGGATCCCTCCATGGCCATCTTGGCTCGAGCGAGTAGGCCCGCGGGAGGGCCCCGCGTCCGTGCGCGCCCCCTCGGCGGGCGCCTGGGCCATCGCCAGAGGCCGTGGCGGGTGCGAAGCGCAGGGGCCGCGGACCGTTCGTGTGGGTTGGCTCGCCGCCTCCGCCGCGAGCGGCGGGCCGGGCGCGGGCGGGCGCGCTGGGCGGGTGCGAGGGCCGCGCCGGCGGGCCGGCTGCTGGGCCGCGATGGCGCCCTCCGCGACGAGGCGGCCGCGGCGCTCTCGTCCTCGGTGGCGCGGCGCCGCGCCGGGCCGGCCGGGGCCAGTGGCGGCTTTCAACACTGAGCGCACGCGGCCAGGTCGCTGCCGCGCCGGCGCGGCGCGAACCCACCGCACCTCGCGTGGACGGCGGCCCCCCGCCAGCAGGGAGGCGCTCGCAGCGCCCGCAGCGGCGCGTGGACGTGCGCGCGCTTGCAGCAACCTTGAACGATCGGCAGGTTTCCGATCGCCGCGGCGGTGCTCGTGGGCCGCGCGGCGCTGCTCGTGCGCGGGCCGCCGCCGCGGTGCGGTGGGTGGCCTCGCCCGGCCGCCGGGCTGCCGTGCGAGGCAGGGGGGCGCCGCGGGCGCTTTTTCGCCGGCGGGGGGCCGCCGTCCGGGCCCCTGGGGCCCGTGCGCAACCCCCACCCCGCTCCGCGAGAACAGGCGGCCAGAGTTTCGGCCACGCTCGCAGGGCAGCTCCTCCGCCTCCTCCGCCTCCGCCTCTTCCTCCTCCTCCTCCTCCTCCTCCTCCTCCTCTTCCTCCTCCTCCTCCTCCTCCTTGCCCCTCCCCTTCCTCCTCCTCCTCCTCCTCCTCCTCTCTCCTCCTCCTCCTCCTCCTCCTCCTCCTCCTCCGCCTCCTCCTCCTCCTCCTCCTCCTCCTCTCCTCCTCCTCCTCCTCATCCTCCTCTCCATTCTAATTCCTTATCATAATTCCCCTCTGTCGCACCCCGAGAGCCAGTTTTTAGGTGGGCCAGGTTTTTCGCCTGAGGCTTCATCAAAAATGGCGGTGTGGAGGTCAGGTTATTAGGGGCGTTCGGCAAGATTCTGGATCGTCCAAACGAACAGCTTTTGATCCGTGGCGATGGATCCCGAGACCAATGTTTTGGCGTGTCAGGGACTTCAAACGTTGTCTTCCAACGAGGCAGTTCCCTGAGTTGAAATAAACTGTGGTAGAGGCCTATGAAGAGGAAACTTGGAGGAAGGATTCATTCCAACATCGTTGATGCCTCTTGGGTTTACACTGGTCCTCCTCCTCCTCCTCCTCCTCCCTCCTCCTCCTCCTCCTCCTCCTCCTCCTCCTCCTCCATTCTTATTCCTTATCAATAACTCCTCCCTGTCCCACCCCGAGGCCAGTTTTTAGGTGGGCCAGGTTTTTCGCCTGAGGCTTCCTCAATATTTATCGCTCTGAAGCTTAAACATTGACAACAGTTTCACAGATGGGAGGCGGGTCGTTTTCAAAATGTTGATCTCGCCTTAGCGCCGCGCACATTCGCGTAGAACATGCACGAGTTTCACGGATTGATGGCGGGTGGTTTCCAACATGTGGTTCTCGCCTTATTGCCTCGTGCGTTCGTTTTTTTTATGTGTAAGAGTTTTGCAGATTCCCATGATCCGCGTATCAGAAATGGCGTTGTGGAAGGGTTCAGGATTATGAGGGCGTTCTGGCAAGATTCTGGATCGTCCAGACGCAACAGTCAGGTTGATCCGTGGCGTTGGATTCCCGAGACCAATGTTTTGGCATGCGTCAGGGTCTTCAAACGGTTGTCTTCCAACGGGGCAGTTCCCTGAGTTGAAATAAACCGTGGTAGAGGCCTATGAAGAGGAAACTTGCAGGAAGGGTTTATTCCAACATCGTTGGTTCCTCTTGGGTTTACACTGGTCCTCCTCCTCCTCCCTCCTCCTCCTCCTCCTCCTCTTCCTCCTCCATTCTTATTCCTTATCAATAACTCCTCCCTGTCGCACCCCGAGGCCAATTTTTAGGTGGGCCAGGTTTTTCGCCTGAGACTTCCTCACTATTGTTGGCTCTGAAGCTCAAACATTGACAACAGTTTCACAGATGGGAGGCGGGTCGTTTTCAAAATGTTGATCTCGCCTTAGCGCCGCGCACATTCGCTTAAAACATGCACGAGTTTCACGGATTGATGGCGGGTGGTTTCCAACATGTGGTTCTCGTCGTAGCGTCGCTTACGTTCGTTTTTTAAGGTGTGTAAGAGCTTTGCGGATTTCCATGATCAGCGTATCAGAAATGGCGTTGTGGAAGGGTTCAGGATTATGAGGGCGTTCTGGCAAGATTCGGGATCGTCCAGACGCAACAGTCAGGTTGATCCGTGGCGTTGGATTCCCGAGACCAATGTTTTGGCATGCATCAGGGTCTTCAAACGGTTGTCTTCCAACGAGGCAGTTCCCTGAGTTGAAATAAACCGTGGTAGAGGCCTATGAAGAGGAAGCTTGGAGGAAGGGTCATTCCAACATCGTTGATGCCTCTTGGGTTTACACTGGTCCTCCTCCTTCTCCTCCTCCTCCTCCTCCTCCTCCCTCCCCCCTCCTCCTCCTCCTCCTCCTCCTCCTCCTCCTCCTCCTCCTCCTCCTCCTCCTCCTCCTCCTCCTCCTCCTCCTCCTCCCCCTCCAACTTCTGGTGGTGGTGGTGGTGGAAAACAGGCTCATCACAGCCCGAGCTCCCGAGCTCCCGAGCTCCCGAGCCCCCGAGCCCCCGAGGCCGCTCACGCGCGAACGCCGCAGGCCGCGCGCCCCTTGGGATGCCCGCGGCGGGCGGCGGCGCCGAAGGCGCGGCCGTCGGCCGCTCCCTGCCGCCGGGCCTCGCCCGGGAGCCGGCGTGCACGCACGCGCGGCCGGAGGCGCGGCCCGCGGAGCCCGCGTCGATTCCGCAGAAAATATGGGAAAATATGAAAACAAATGTTTGAAAAATATGGGGAAATATGGGAAAATGTTGGGAAATATGGGGAATCCTGTTATTTTTGTGTATTCATTTGTGTGTCCCAGGGCCCCTTTCACGAGTGTCGATCCGCGCCCTCGCGTGGAGCACGCCTGCAGTGGCCCTGCGCGGACCGCGCGTGCACTCCCGACTGCGGCCTCGCATGGAGCTTTTCAATTCTGTCTCCGCAGGCGGAGGCTGGGCCGCGGATTCGACGATGTTAGGCCAACGTGACCCGCTCTCATGTTCAACAAACAGCGACCAGCCTCTGGGGGCGTCCTTGGGCATCTTGACGCCCTTTCCGTCAACGATGCCCGCCCTCATCTTCCACAAACAGCCACCAGCCTCTGGGGGCGTCCTGGGGCGCCTTGGGGCTTGGGGCCCTCTCGGGCCGCCCTGGGCCGTCCTGGGCCCTTCGTGGGGCCCTCTTGGACGCCTCGTGGGGCGATCTTGGAAGACGCCTGCCGCGCACGAGGGTCCAGAACTGGCGCTGCCCCTGAGCTCCGACGTGGCGAAAAAACTGCAGCATCGTGAAAGTCCGCGCCCGGAGCCCCGGACCCCATCTGCCTGCGCCATTTTTCGAGCCGCATCGATCTGTGAGGGTCACGGGACCCCGAAGAAAGGCGAAGACGCCCGGCTCGAAAAGATTGGGTCGCCAGGAGCTCAGGGGCCTCCGGGCGCGCGGAAAAACACCGCCGCCGCGGCGGGCGTCCACGGCCCGGGTGCCGCCGCGGGGCGCCCCAGAGCCGCGCGGTGCGACGGCGGCAGCAGCGGCGCGAGGAGCCGCCCACGCCGAGGAGCGGAGGAGGGCCGGCGGCGCCGGCCCTCCCCGGAGACATCCGGGGAGCTGGCTTTTTCAGTGCGGCGGTCTTCCCCGGACTTCGGCCTCCGGGGCCCCTGCCCCGAGAGATCCTGGCGGCCCAACCTCTTGGAGCCGGGCGTCTTCGCAATCTTTCTCGGGGTCCCGGGGCCCTCACAGATCGATGCGGCTCGAAAAAGGGCGCAGAGAGGTGGAGTCCGGGGCTCCCGGGCGCGGGTTTCCACGATGCTGCAACTTTTTCTCGCTGCGTCGGATCTCAGGGCAGGGCAGGCCTGGGGGCCACCGAACACGGATCCAGGACGAAGCACCACCCCCCGGGGGGAGGGGTCGGGGCCTCCTGGGCCTCAGAGAGTGAAAGATGGCCTCCAAGATGGCTCCAGACAGCGCAAGATCGCTTACAATGGCCTCCAAGATGCTCCAAGAGGCCCCAAGACCGCCGCAAGACGGCTCCGAGAGGCCGAAGAGTTCCCAAGGAGTCCCCCCCCAAGGTACGGATTGAGAGAGTCAGATCGGCGGATGTCTGGGGAGGCCTCAGGTCGTCAAGGTGGCCCCGGAGGCGCTGACGGACAAGCCCGTGCACCGAGAGATCACGGGTGCGCTCTCTCGCGGCGAGCGGTCTCGGCAGTGAGCGCGGCCCCGGCGAGGTGTCCTTCGAGGCATCGCAGCGCCGGCTGGTTGCTCATCGCGGAGGTGGGCTCGCCAGAGCAGCCAGCTGAGGAGACGGCTTTGAGATCGTCCACGAGCTGCCCGAATCTCCGCATGACCAGACAGTCTTGGGCGCTGACTGGACAGTCCTGCCGTGTTCGATTCCTCCCTCGGGTGCGCCTGCTAAGGGGCCTAGCTTGTAGGGGGGCGCTTGCTACAACGTTGGTCATTCTGCTTTCCCAGCAGCAAATCTCCTCCCCTCGATCTCCTCCTCCCCCTCGTGCCCCACCCGCGTCCAGCCGCGCGCAGAGGGGGGTAGGAGGAGGCGGGAAGGCCTCTTAGAAGCACTCCTGCTTCTTAGAAGGCGCGGGCCTTGTCTGCAGAGGCACTTCTGAGGAGCCCTCCTCCCCCTCCTCCTCCTCCTCCTCCTCCTCCTCCTCCTCCTCCTCCTCCTCCTCCTCCTCCTCCTCCTCCTCCTCCTCCTCCTCCCCCTCCTCTGCGCGTGCCCCGCCCGCGTGGGGCGCCCCGCGCACATGGGGCCTTGGGCCTCTCGCTCTCCGCGTGCCTGCCCGCCCCGGCCGCGCGGGCTCGGCCGCAGGCGCCGAGCTCTCGGAGCCGAAAGGGCGCGCGCCGCTCCCCACTTCCCCTGCTGCTGCTGCTCCTCCTCCTCCTCCTCCTCCTCCTCCTCCTCGCGTATCTCCCTACTCCCTTCTCCTCCTCCTCCTCCTCCTTCTTCTCACCCCCCACCTCCTCCTGCTGCTGCTCCTCCTCCTCCTCGCGTATCTCCCTAACTCCCTCCTCCTCCTCCTCTCCTTCTCCTTCTTATCTCTCCTGCTTTCTCCTCTCCTCCTCCTGCTCCTCCTCCTCCTCCTCGCGTATCTCCCATAACTCCCTCTCCTCCTTCTCCTCCTTCTCTCTCCTTTCCTCCTCCTCCTCCTGCTCCTCCTCTTCCTTCTCTGCTCCTCCTTGTTTCCCCCTTTCCTCTCATCCTCCTCCTCCTCCTCCTCCTCGTCCTCCTCCTCCTCCTCCTCCTCTCCCTCATTCTTCTCCTCCTCCTCATCATCATCAGCATCATCATCATCATCATCATCATCATCATCATCATCATCATCATCATCATCATCATCATCATCATCATCATCATCATCATCATCATCATCATCATCATCATCATCATCATCATCATCATCATCGTCATCAGCATCATCATCAGCATCATCATCATCATCATCATCATCATCATCATCATCATCATCATCCATCATCATCATCATCATTTCCCCCTCCTCTCTTTCTTCCACTCATCTTCTCCCCCTGTCTTCCGCCCTCCGCCGCCTCCTCGGCTCTGTCTGCTCCTGTTCCCCAGCCAGTGCCTGCACTGACGGGGTCCTCGCCGAAGCTTCTGGCCGCTCTCGAGATTGTTAGGAGTTTCTGAATTTTTTGGGGCCGATGGGCGGCCAGGTTTCAGGTTCCCAGTTCCAGGCTTCTTGGGGGCTTCTTTAGGTTGGGGCCTCTCGGGGGCCTGTTTGGGGCCCGTCTGGGGTCTCGGGGCCATCTTGTGCGCGAGGGTTGCACCGAGCTCTCCGAGAGAGGCTCGGCGGTTGCACCGTCTTGGGGCTGTTTAGGCGGGTCCTGGGGCCGTCTTGGGGGATTCTCGGATTGTCCAGGGGCCTGTCTGGGGGATCTTTTCAGACATTCTTGGGCCGTCTTGGGGGCTTTTCGAGGCTCCCTGAAGCTTCCCCGAGGTGATCTGAAGCCGCAGAGTCCCGGGTGCAAGTCATATTGATTCACCCTGGGTGTTACAATTGATTTTGCCTCTCAGGGCATCGCCGGAGGCCTCTTGGTGCGGTCTTGGAAATGATACTGATGCTGATGTCGGAAAGAGCGCGTTAGGTGGTCGCTTGGAGGGGGGGGGTTTGAAACCAGACCCCCCCCCCTGGATGGAGGGGTGGAGGGTTTCGAACCCCCCCCCCTCCCCTCATCTGCTTCCCCTCTCCTCGGGCTGGCGTTTGTGTCGGCGGCGGCTGGCGACGGCGGCGGGGGCGACGATTTCCATTTCTGGGCCGGCACCGGCGCCTGCGGCGGCGGGCGGCGGTGGCGGGGAGCGTCGACGAGGACGACGGTGGTGGTGGTGGTGGTGGTGGTGTTGGGTTGTGTTGGTGGTGGTGGTGGCGGTGGTGGTGGTTGTAGTGGTGGTGGTGTGGTGGTTTGTTGTGGTGGTGGTGGTTGTGGCGGTGGGTAGTGGTGGTGGTGGTGGTGGTGGTTTGTTGGTGGTGTGGTGGTGGTGGTTTGTGGTGGTGGTGGTGGTGTTGGTGGTTTGGTGGTGGTGTGGTGGTGGTTTGTGGTGGTGGTGGTGGGTTGTGGTTGTGGCGGTGGTTTGTAGATGTGGTGCCGGTGGTGGTTGTGGTGGCGGTGGTGGTGTTGATGTGGTGGTTTGTAGTGGTGGGGGGTTGTGCTGCTGGTAGTGGTGCTTGTTGTGGCGGTGGTGGTGGTGGTGTGGTCGATTGTGGTGGTGGTGGTGGCAGTGGTGGTGGGTTTTTGTGGTGGTGGTGGTGGTGGTGATGGTGGGTTGTGGTGGTGGTGGTTGTGGTGTGGTGGTGGTGGTGATGGTGTGGTGGTGGTTTGTGGTGGTGGTGGAGGTGGTGGTGGGTTGCGGTGGTGGCGGTGGTTTGTGGACGTTTGTTGTGGTGGTGGTGGTGGCGGTGGTGGTGGGTGTGGTGGTTTGTGGTGGTGGTGGTGGTGGGTTGTGCTGCTGGTAGTGGTGGTGGTTGTGGCGGTGGTGGTGGTGGTGGTGTGGTAGAGTTTGTGTGGTGGTGGTGATGGTGGGTTGTGGTGGTGGTTGTGTTTGTGTTTCTGGTTGTGGTTGTGGTGGTGGCTGTGGTGGTTGTGGTAGTTGTGTGGTGCTGTTGGTGGTGGTGGTGGGTTGAGGTGGTGGTGGTTGTGGCGGTAGTGGTGGTAAGTGTCGCTGCGTCCTTGCCGTGGGGGGGGGTTTGAACCCCCCCCCTTGGCTGCCTCTGGTCATCGTCGCTGCGTCCCCGCCGTGAACGCTGCTGGTGGCCGCCAGCGCCGGCGCTGGCGCCAAGGGGGGTGGGTGGGGGGGTTTGACCCCCCCACCCCTTCTCGGAAGGGGGGGGTCGGGGGGGGTTTGGGGGGAGGGGAGTCCCCCTGGTTTTGATCGACGGCGCCGAGTGTTGGGGGGGGGGCCACCCCCCGGTTCGAAACGCGCCGCCGACTGTTCCCCAGGCGAGCGCCTGTAAAACGCGTTCTCTCTGATGTCGACGCTGATGCTGCTGCTGCTGCCGACGATTACGAGGAGGACGACGACAAGGACGACGACGACGACGACGACGACGACGACGACGACGACGACGACGACGACGACGACGACGACGACGGGGACGGGGACGGGGACGGGGACGACGACGGGGACGATGGGGACGATGACGAGAGGTGGTGGAAGTAGAGAGGGGGCATGGGAGCGTGGCATCGGGGAGGGGAGTTACAGTCAGCGCACATAGTAAGGATGAGCGACTTCTCAAGGTTACCCTTGCATCCCCCCCCCTTGGCCCATCCTCGGCCGCTTTCGCTGGCCGCGCCCCGCCCGCATGGCCTTCCAAGGCCCTTGCATCCTTATCGTGCGTCCTCATTGTATGGGCTGACTGTAGGATGTGGCCAGGAGGGGGCCGGAGGAGAGCGAGAGGTCCTCAGAACCCCGACGTCGTGATTGTTTCGTGACGTCGACCCCCAGGAGGTCCGGACCCTTCCCCGGGACCAGTTTTGCATCCCGAGTCGTTTTCTGACGGTCCCGAGGCCCGGTGAGGGCCTCCAGCGGCCAAAAATAGCAAGAAGCTTCCCGTCGTGATGTTTTCACGACCCGAGGGGATCTGGGTCTGATGCTCCTCGCCACTCGGCCTGGCGGCGCAGCCCGGACGGCGAGGATGGCGGACTTCCGGGTGGTTGTGATGTCGGCCACGCTGCAGGCTGCTCGCGGCGGCGGGGGGGAGCCACCGACCGCGTCCTTTCCCCGGGCCCCAGGCGTCAGAGGAGGAAACGGCACCGATAACGCCACCCTTCGTCCGTTTTCCTCTTTTTCGGCCTCCTGGGCGGCCCTCGTCGCCACCGTTGGATTCGCCGCGAGATCCTGGCCAGAAAGCGCCAGGGGAGAGGTCCAGGTAGTGGCGGCCGGCTCGCCTGACCGCGTGGGCCCCGTCAGTCGGCCAGGTTGGGGGCAGTGTCAGGGGGGATGGGCTCAGGGCGGGATGCATCGACCCCCAATCGCCACCCTCCTCCTGCTCAGGAACGTGCAGTTTCGCTATCGGGGGTCTATCGCCGATGTATCGTCGGTGCATCGCCGATTCCAGCTCGATACTTTCCCGCCTGAGCCGGTCCCCCCCCCTGAAGTTGCCCCTCGGTAAGTCCGCCGGCAGCCAGCCACGCTCACACGTCGCAGTCTTGGCCGTTGCAGCTTTAGTTGCTGTTCTGGCAGTTGCAGTATTGCCTGCAGTCGTGGTTTGTGGTCGTGGTTGCGGTATCAGCTTCAGTAGTGGTAGTTCCGACATGCGCAGGGGGGGGTAGGGGGAGGGGGGAAGGGGGAAGGCTGCTTAGAAGGAGGCTGCTCCTTAAAAGGCGGGGGCCTTGTCTGTAGATGTAAGGCCCGCGCCTTCTGAGAAGCAGCCTCCTTCTAAGAAGCCTTCACCCCTCCCCCTACCCCCCTCTGCGCTGCGCGTCGCTAAGTAGTGGTGGTGGTGCGCCAGGGAGGCGGCCCGGGTGGAGGCCCAGGGCGAGGCACGGGAGGCCCAGGGGCGAGTCCCAGGAGCAGGCCCGGGAGGAGCTCTTGCCGGGAGGAGGCCCAGGTTCCAGGGGGAGGTCCTGGGGCAGGCCCAGGAGGGGGATCAGGGGGAGGACCAGGAGCGGGAGCAGGAGTGGCCGCCGAGTTGGCCAGGTCGAGCAAGTCAGAGGGCCCCGCCGACTCCCACCCTCTCCCTCCCACCGCACGCTCCTCAACCGCGGCACGACCCGATGCTGGGACTCGAGCGCGCCCTCGCCTCGCCGGCGGGAGGCGCTCGCGCGCG